AAGCCTTAATTTGAGATTCACAGTAAAACTTCTGCATGAATTTGTCCAGATTTCGTGCTGGACTTGAGGAAATGGGCACTACCTAACCTTAAGCACTAGTAAGCTGCTCTGTAGGCACTGGCTATTGCTCCTTCTGGTTGTAGCAGCAACTTACAGAGACTTTACAAGGCCCAAGACATTCCCATATTTGAAAGCACTCAGAAAAGAAATTCCTTCACCCAGTTGCACTGTGGGAACTGTCCCACAGTTCAGGGAAACAATTTCCACTGCTTTTTGAAGGTTTTGAGCACTCCAATAATGTATTTTCTTTTTTAAGCAAGATGCAACTTCTCTGCTCCATTTTTTTTTAGCTTGGTCATACCTCCCACTATTCAGTCCTTTTTTCCCACAGGTTCAGCTAGCGAACTACATTAGACATAAAACTTTTTACTCTTCTTTCAGTGGATCAGTTCAGGGTTTTGTCCTTTCCTGGGTCCTCAGTCACAGAAGCAGTAAAAGTCTTATTTTTGACCCATATTAACACAATAAACAAAAACCAGGTGTCTTAAAGCCATAATGGTTCTGAGAATTGAAGAAAAAGTAGCTGCTTTCCACAGAAAGTAGGCAATTGACATAATAATAATACAGCAAAACATGTTAAGTCTTGCTTGTTTTACAGAATTATTGGTATTGAACAGCTCAGAGTATCTGTAAAAAACCTTTCCAAACATGCTGAGGCAGCTGAATACTGAGAGCATTGTACAATGCTCTCTTTACTTGTCAGTAAACCCAACAAATGCGTAACATTCAATATGGAAAGGCAGGTCTCATCTTAACGAGCTGGCAAGCCAAAGCAGCAGAAAAGTCTGTTCTTGCCCCAGGACATAATCTCAGCTTTCCCCAAAAACTGTGTTGAAGTCAGGGAAGCATTTGAGAAAACCCCTGCACCCACCCACAGTCAGTGTACTGTGACCTCTTCAGTCCATGACATATCTGAGATCTCTTGTAACTCCCCTGTTATGTAGAAGCCATGGACTTTGGTTCAAACAGAGAGAAAATACAGTCATCAAAACATTAAGCTCACATGAAATTTCCATTTCCTTACAGGAAAGACTGTATGGGATCTGAACACTGTCCAAACCATGCAGCCGTTCTGGAGTCACACTTGAACATTTGAGCTCAGACCTATCTGTCCTTGTTGAATATTTTATGTTGACACAAACCACATATGTTATGTATCTGCCTCCTTTTCCCCTTTCAAATTGGTTTCTCTGATCAGTGGAACAAAGATACAAAAGGAAATTAATCTGCTGCACATGAATGTCCTTCCTGGTATTTAAAGTCTTTCCCAGATATTACTCTGAAAGGGAATGAAGATAAGCCCAACATGAATTGCAGCATACAGATTTGGGAGGATAAATTTTGAGAAAAGGAAAACATTATATTTTTTACCTTATTTGCTGAATATGAAGGTTATCAGCTCAGTTTGTGAATCTTAGGACAATTTGTGATTATAGTCTTCACAATATCATTTATAGTCACAAATCTCAAATTAGAGATAACATTTAATTTGATTGGGAAATAAAAAAATCTGAACAGTGTTTTATTTACAATAAGTTAGTTTGGTTAATATTGATTTATTAATTTCATATTTGTTAGACTTAGAAACTTACGCTTAAGGTTTTCACAATAATTTTCAATTCCAAATCCAGAATGAAAAATAAATTCTGCTTTTCCCCAGTTTTTTGTGAAACTGAGGGTTAAAATAATTATTCAAAAAATCAAATTATTAGACAGGAATTACTGAAAAATCAGAAATTTATTATAATCCATTTTTAAAGCATAGATTAGGAATGACAGATGAAGAACTGAAGCTGATATTGAAGTGTTTCAAGAATTGTTTTGATAATTTGTTGCTTAGAGTAATTATGGAGTTAAACACAGGAATGTTTGTACATTATATAGTCACTGGTTTGAGCAGTTATTGAAGGATTTGTTAAAATTTCTGCAGGTAAACACCTAAAATGCTTAGAAGTTGTTGAAATTTAGATGGAAGTTGTTGCAGAGATCTTATAAATATGTGGAGTCATTAAATAAGCCAAAACAACAAAATGTTCCATAATTACAGATACACATCAGTGACTGGAAAGAAGTGCTTTTCCTGTAGTTTCTGAAGCAATAATTTATTTGGAGACATTCCTCTTGGGGCAATCTGCAACTGCTTTGCTGCTAATTCGTCTTTCCCGTTTGTGAAAAGTGAAGGATAAAATCAGATAATAAAGGTAGAAAAGCATCACGTGTGTGATGAAATACCTGTTCTGTAATTTTCCACTGTTGTGGGAAAAAGCAAAGCTCCAATCTTTGGGAGGTACAAATCACAGCATATAGCTTTTATTCTAATGTATTAATTGTAGAATCATGGAATCATTATATTTGAAAAAGACCTCCAAGGTCATCAAGTCCAACATTTGAACATCACCATGCCAACTAAACCTAAGTGCCCTGCCCAGTCATTACTAGAACACTTCCAGGGATGGTGGCTCTGCCGCCTCCCTGGGCAGCTATTTGAATGCTTCATAGCCCATTCAGTGAAGAAATTCTTCCTGATGTCCAGCCTGAGCATTTCCTGTCACAGCTTTGAGGCCATTTCCTCTTGACCTGGTGCTAGTTGCCTGGAAGAAGAGGTTAGTTGCCTAGAAGAAGATGTGGAGAATGAAGGGGGTGCTTTGATTTATTTATTTATTATGAATGTGATGACACTCTGCAATTGTCAATTTTCCCATGTAGACAATAATTCAGTACCTGCTGAAGTCTTTAGCTCCTGACTATCATACGTAGGTTTATGGAGATCCTGAAACTTTGGTCAGGTTACAGAAACAGGTTTTTGGGTAAACAACAAGCCTGGAAAATGTCTTCCAGGTTCTGTTCTGTGGCTACTAGATAATGAAGACTGTAGCCCTTGCTGAAACATCTTTCTGACCAAGGTGGTGCAGTATCCTTGAGGCAAACCATGCACCTTATCCAGAAAATGAAGTGATGGCATTTGCTAACACATTATCTGAAACATTTTCAGAAAATGATATAGAGTAGTCTAAAGAAAGCATAAAAGTTGTTCCAAAGCTGACTTCATGGGCCATACCATAATAAGTAAAGGGTATTAGAAAAACATAAATAGGCACATAAAGACCCATTTGAGGTGAGAATGACAACAAATATAGAAGCCTCAAAAATGTGAACTGATAACTAGACCTGTAAATGTAACTACTCTCTGTGGTTGGCACATCTTCTACAATCTGGGTTTTTCACATTTATTACCTAACACATTGCACTTAATTCATCAGCATCAGCTATTTCTCCTTTTCAGAGGCCCTACTAAATGAACATATTTGAAGTCAATAAAAAGCAATCTCCCTAGAACACAGAAAAATCAATTTCTTGCTTATAAGGAACAAAACTATTTTTTACATTCCAAGTAGTCTGTTTTCCATTTTCAAATTGGCATGCATGAAGTTGAAACCATATCTACATAGGTTATGTTCAACTGCAGGAGTTTGGAGGTATTTTGTTAGGGAAAAGAAGACCAAAACCAAATAAAATGTATCAAATAGATACTATCCTTCTCTACAACAGTTAAGTTTGAGACAAGTGTGAAATAAATATCTGATTTGTAAATTAGCTCATAGTCAAATAGTGGGTTAAAAAAACACATGACAGCTCACGTTTTGAGCTTTGTTACATTCAGCTTTTCTTATTCTTGCCTTACAAGTAGGTACAAGCCTACTCACCTTTGTACTGGAAAAAAAAGTATCTATATTAAAACTAAAGCAAGGAGTAGCCCTGCAAAAAATAACTTTGCAGCATTTCTTAAAGGAAAGGTTTTTACAGTTTTACACTAAGAATGGTGAACTCAGTCACCATGGCTAAGACACTGGGTCCATGGAATCACTCATATTGGAAATCACCTGTAAGATCATCCAGTCCAATCCTGAGCCCATCGCTGCCAAACCCACCACTAAACCATAACCCTAAGTGCCACATCTACATGTCTTCTGAACACTTGAAGGAATGGTGACTGTACCACTTCCTAGGGTGGCCTGTTCCAGCGCCTGACCACCCTAACAGTGAAGTTATTTTTCCTAATACTGAAACTAAACCATCCCTGGCACATCTGGAGGCCGTTTCCTCTTGTCCCATCAGTTGTTACCTGGGACAAGAGACCAACCCCAGCTTGGCTTCAGCCTCCTTTTGGGAAGTTGTAGAGAGCAAGAGGGTCCCTCTGAGCCTCTTTTTCTCCTGGCTAAACACCCCAGCTCCCTCAGCTGCTCCTCATCTGACTTGTGCTCCAGATTCTTCACCAGCTCCACTGCCTTTCTCCGGATTCACTCCAGCACCTTTCTTTTAGTGAGGGGTCTGGAACTGAACACAGGATTTGAGGTGTGTCCTCAGCAGTGCAGAGCATGCGGGGTGATCACTGCCCTGGTCCAGCTGGCCACACTATTGCTGGTACAGGCCAGGATGCCATTGGCCTTCTTGGCCACCTGGGCACACAGCCAGCTTGTTCTCAGATCCTTTTCTGCCAGGAAGCTTTCCAGCCACTGGGAAACTGTGCATTTGTAGATGCTGCATAGTTGAGTACATTTGCATGCTGTATAGGCAAATAGTGACAAGCCAAGAGGCAATGGTTTTAAACTGAAGGAGAGCAGGTCTAGATTAAGCATTAGACAGAAATTCTTTACTCCCAAAGGTGATGAAACACTGAAACAAGTTCCCCAGGCAGGTTTTGAATGCCCCACCCCTGGAAGTGTTCAAGGCCAGGTTGGATGGGGCTCTGAATAACCTGATAAAGTGGAAAATGCCCCTGCCCATGGCAGGGGTGTTGAAAACAGATGATCTTTAAGGTCCCTTTCAACCCAAACCATTCTATGACTCTGTGGGACTGTTGTGACCCAATTGCAGGACCTGGAATTAGTCACATAAAATTGACCTCAGCCCATTAATCCAGACTGCCCAGATTCCTCCATGGAGCCTTCCTACCCTCCAGCTGATCAGCTCGGTGCTGGCTTCAAAATCACTGAGGGTGCCCTTCATCTCCTCATGCAGATTGTTGATAAAGATATTATTTAAGACTGTCCCCAGTACTGAGCCCTGGAGATACCACTTGTGACCAGTTGCCAACTGGATTTAACTCCACTCACCACCATTCTCCGGGCTGGGCCATCCAGACAGGTTTTTAGCCAGAAAACAGTGTACCCTCCAAGCCTTGAGCAGCCAGTTTCTCCAGGAAAATGCTATGGGAAACAATGAAACACTACCAAGCAACATAAGCAGCTAAAACAACCTCTGCAGATCTTGGGTTAGATGAATATCATGTCCTTTATCTGATTATTTGTATACAGTAATTAATTTTCTTATTAGTCCTCCAACATATTCATGTTCTCTTTGACATTTACAATCTTTTGTGTGTACAGGAAATGCCCATAAAGTGTGCATTTATAGATGCTGGATAAATCGGTATATTTCCATGCTATGCAGTTTTCCCTGCAATATGAACAATTGCCATCAAGTGAAAGAACAATTGTTAAACATTAACAGCGGGATTTGTCTGATCAAAAATTGATGGCCACATTTGTATTACTCTGCCAGATTGATTTTATTTAATGCCAATAATATCTAATCCTAAGTAAGGGATAGTGGTTTTAAAGACAGTCAATTAAGGCTAGATATAAGAATGTTTTACTGTGAGAATGGTGAAACACTGCAAAAAGTTTCCCAGAGAGGTGGGAGATACCCCACCCCTGGAAACCTCCATGGTCAGGCAGGACAGGGCTCTGAGCAATCTAATCTCGTGGAAGATTTCCTTGCCCTTGCAAGATTCCCCTTATTGCAGAGTGTTGGACTAGATGAACTTTAAAGGTTCTTTTCAACCCAAACCCTTATTTGAATCCATAATTCTAAAGCAGACGCTACAGTAGGTCAGAAGTGTTCCCTAGGAGAGTGTTGTCCCTATATGGACATCACAGATTCCACCAGTGACAAGCCAAATGTGGACAGGTGCTTTGTTGTAACCAAAATAAAGTGAGATTAATTCTGTTCTGCTGAAAGCAGTACATCTCAACTCAAGATTTGCATTAACAGAACTGTAAAATTAAAATTTTGGACAAGTATAGCTTCTAGAAAATACAGTCTGTGTCCTTTTGAGAAATCTAGCCAGTATTACTAGACACTCTTTAACTTATCAAGGGTTTAATACAGCCAGTTCCTTCTATAAACACTATAATGTGTTCTTAATCAATTGTGCACCAAAAAAAAAAAAAAAAAAAAAAAAGGGACAATAATCTTTGTTAAAACTCAACATGTTCTTCGGTCAAGGTCTTTCAGGAAGTGATCCAGAGAAAGACTCAAAAAGTGGCAATATGACTATTACCTGTTCCCTACCAGTATCCATGCGCAGAAATTCACAGTGGCACCAGACTGATGTGCTGGTAAAGATCAGCATGTAGGACTGAAACAGAATAAAAAACTGTGTGAATATGATTGAGACTGCAAAATAAGATAAATGCTTATATACTTATTTAGAAGTAGATATTTTGCAGTTTACAGTTCTGATTGAAGAGCAAAATCAGCAATTGTGGCAGTGATACAATTTTCCTGGAGCAGAGAGGCCAAAAACCAGAGACCATTTGTCTTAGCAGGGAAAAGGACTTTCCACAGCTACATTCTCCATTATCTATTTTTTACTCATGTCAGCGGAAAGAAGTTGGCCCTTGGGTACTGAAATACTGTCATGAACATGGGCAAAATTAATTTGTGTTCTCTGAAGGAAGAGACCACAGAGGTGGCTGCTCCTGCCCCAGGAAAAGAACCATAGCATAGCGGGCGTCACAAGGGGGACAGCTTACTCCTCTGGGGAGGGTGAAGACAACAACTGGTACTTCATGGACATGTCCCCTTCCACTGCAAAATTCAGATATAAAACAAAATTAGCTTAGAAGCATCGCAGACTGACATAACTTTACTGATGCATTTTGGTGCTGGATGGTTTTGTCCAGCCCCACTGAACTTGCCAGCTCATGTTCCTTTAGTTTAAAACACTTCACAGTTATTATAAATAGTAATTTTCATCAAAGTATTATGAGTTACTTTGCAAACACTAATTATGCCTTTCAGCCTTAATGAAAAATAATCCTAGTCCAAAGTCATGAAAAGAGAGAGAAATCTTGTCTTGGTTCCCAGCTTAATGCATTAGACACTACTTAAGATCATAATTTTGCATATTCATCATTTAGAAGGAGGTAATAAGAAAAAGTATTCTTGAACTCAGCAAAGACTAATCAATGCTGACACTAGATAAAAAGAAAACATTTCTTAAAAAGAACAAAAGCTGACTTATTTAAAGTCAAAATAATACCCTATTGCAACATGTCAAAGACAAATGCAATAAAGAAATGCATCTTAGTGGTTTTTTTATTGTGGCCATAGACTCATTACATATCAGAAGCTGAAAGAAACAAGCATGATTTGGCAAAGTAGATTAAAGATTAGGGGTTTTGCCAATATGTCACAGGAATAATTGGTGCTATCAATATATCTGAAAAAATATAGGTCTCAATGTGTGCCAAGTATCTACCCTGTTTTTACAATGAAAGTTATGCCTAAATTAATGTATTTTAAACATACTGGTGTACTATTTTTCTTGTATTCTAAAAAGAATTTTGAGCATGTCTACTTGGTGTGAATTATATAATTTCTACTTTTCTAGAAGAAAAGAGTTGTTACATATTGTCTTGAGTGGATTTAGTTTTTCCCCTAAAAGAATTAGAAGAAAGTAGGCCATCATTAGAAAATGTAAAGATTTCTGTCTGAACCCCAGCAGACATTTCATTCCTTGACTTCTGCTCCATAAATGAATCAAGTGTAATGGGTGCCATGTTTCTAATCCCTCAATTTTATCTTCTTACATTCACAGGGCAACTTACAACAAAACAACTTTTCATCACCATCAGGACTGCCTCTTGCGAGAAGTGGAATGGAGTTGTTCATAAAACTAAAACTGAATTTTGCCCACCTTTCTATCAGAAATAATCACTTCCTTATCACGTGCCACACAATGAGCCCAATCTTTTGGGTGAGCAACTCCCAGTCTGCCCAAACTCTGTCAAAATTTGCAATCATGATGCCAATAGGGCAGACTCCAGCTGTAGGTGCCTCATGGCCAGATGTGTACTTTTGCATGCCCATGATTATCTGAGAACATATCCTCTGAATGCCCTTGCAACTCAGTTGAGATGGGACAGCTGATGAAGCGGCATGTTTGTGTTTTCACACTATGTTGCTAAGGAATGTCAGAACTGGGACTGTTATCTAAGCAGTCACTGTTTACAATGAGAAGAACAAAATGATTGAGGTCTTTCTCCCAGGTACCCTAAAAAGACACGATAAGAAATAACAATGTCATTGTTTGCTTTCAGTACATTAATCTCTCTAATGTTCCGTAGACATAAAAAAGTTTATCTTAGGCAGCTGCAATTTACCATTTCAGTTCCAACATTATAGATTTGGTGAAAAATAAGTCACGAAGTTGCCATTTTCTTTCAGTTACAATTACTAATTTGAAGCAAATTAAAGTTTATACACATCTTTTTCAAATGCAGGTCACTTCAAAAAGATATATTGATTTGCAACCTGAAACATAATGGTCTGACGTCAGTATTCAGGCACTTTGCACTCCAAAGCACTCCCTTTTGTGTTTAGAGACCTCATGATGTTATCCCAAGTCACAGACTAAACACCCAATTTGAGATTTAAAAAATAATAACACATCAATTAATTTGGCAATTTTAACATATAAATCTACACATACAATCTGTAGTCCATAATGGAACAATAATCTTGTGATCTTTTGGCCTAATTCCTAAAGGCAAAGGTTTTAGTTACAGATGAGAACAATAGAGGACACAGTTCAGAGGGATTAATGAAGTTATTGTTTTGTACAGATGTGAAATCTATGAAAATCTTCATTACAAGTCAAAATATCAATTAGTGACTTTCCTTTTCACTGGCTCCTCTTTTCCTTCCCTTCATTGTACATAATACTTTCCCATGTTCTCACCAAGTTTTTGTCCTGGCACAGCTAGAGAGAGGGTGGAGCATCCTCTGCAAGGAAACATCCAACTCTAATATTGTGTGTACAACTCACTAACCAGCTGGTAGCACGTAAACATTTGAGGTCACATCCAGTCCATGCATACATGACCTCAGAGCATTTTCCAAAGCCTTTTCACTGACCCCAGGACCCTGGCTGGTGGACTAAAGCATAATATGAATACATAAACTTCTGCCACCCACCCTTTGGCCAGATTTGACTCCTCAAGGCATATTCTCTCACCCAAGTCTCATCCAAAAATCTGGAAGCCAAGTGAAGAAACAGTGCAATTAAACTCACATCATGCAAAGCTGATTCAGGTAATTTTCACTTGGATTTTCATGAGGGAAAAATCAAGAGTTGTATTTGCTAATCAGCTTGCTCTGTGTACTTTTGCAAACAAAACCTCAACCAAACTGGTCATTTCATAGAACAATAGATAACACTGGCCAACAAGACTCCTCTCTTGAGAAAAGAAGCACTGCCTAGATCAATCTTTTCTTACACTGCGGACACACAGGGTAGACAGGAACATGTGAGATCTTTAACCTTCCCTCCTGGACAACCACGGAAAAAAGGCACCAGGGACCTCAATTTATAATAAACAACTCCTTCATATTACACTGCATCTAACAATACACCACACACACTGCTGCTGCTGCTCTGAAATGTCATTATTGGTTACAAGCCCAAATCCCTCTGTGGGACCTGACCATCTGTTACAGAGAGCGGGACACAGTTTGATGCGCAGTGTTACCTACAGACAGGAAACCAAAACCAGTAACAGCAGGATGAGGTGCTGCACAAACCATGCAGTGCCTACAAAGCAGGGATCTGCCATCTTGTTCTTTCATTTCACCACCGTTTAACTGCAAAGGGGAGATTCTTGCCCATATCCTCAAAAGGAGCCTGTGACATCGCACATTTGCACACAAGTAATGTCAGTATAATAATTTCTCCAAGTTTTTCACTTTCCTAGGTTGTTATCCAAATCCTTTGATGTGCAACTGCTACTTTGAGAGGGCATAGCCTCTTCCAGACCTACCTTAAACTCGTGAAGCCAAGTGAGGCAGAAAAACATCTATGCAGGTTTCAGGCAAAAATTCATAACTACTTCCTTCGGAACTTTGGGGAGGATAGAAAGGAGATAATGGTACAGCTAAGCTTATTGAATTACTGAGTTGCTTTCTATAGTCTTAAGTGTGAATTTTAGAAGTGACTTTTTATAAGTCATCTGTAATAGACTGGCAGCTTTTGAAGACAAATAGGTAACATTAGAATAGGATAACTGCCAAGAAAATTGCTCTTGGAAGAAGAAATGTTGACTTAACACAGTTTCTTCATGGAAGAAACAAGAAATCAGATTTCCTTGACCACATTTTCAAGCATATCTCAATACAATTTTTCCAGTTCATCTAAAGCCAAAATTGCAAAACCAGAAAAGTGTTACCCGGTGCAAAGCCAAGATAATGAATGGGATGTGGAAATTTTGTGATGATTGTGACACAGTAAATGTCAAATATGATGAAGATTTACCATCACTAATTTGCATCACACAACATGAAAAGAAAATATACAGCTGACTCATTTGGAGTAAAGAAACAGTGTTTACCCTCCATTTTTGTTTCATCAGGTTTGAAATAATTCTGCTTTGTTCCTGGTGCATAACCAGGCTGAGTTCTGTTTTCAGCTGATTTTGTTTTTTTAATTCATTATTTTAATTGGACATTACCATGTTAGAGTTCATTTCTCAGCTGTGTTGCTGTATGTAAATGCCATCACAGACTCCCTGATGGTGTATTTCTGAATAGACCTTCCCTAGGCAGGCTGCAAATGTTCATCAGCCCTCCAAAGGCTATCTAGTAGAAAACAGCATTCATTGGCCTGCTGTGCATGGGTTTTGAAATATCTTTACTTCCTCTGTTTCAAATTTGCCCTTTCTAATCTTGGCCTTTGCTACAGTAAATGGCGAGAAACGTTCAGAGTCCTGCCGGCCGAGGAACCTGCCCTGGCTTCCGCTACCACTGCAGGACTCCAGCCTGTCACCCAGCCCAGGAAGTGTTTGTGAGGTTTAAAAACACAATCCACATCCCTCTGACCATGTCACAGGTTCCATTCACAGTCTGGCAGGGGAAGGGGGGTGGGGTTGAGCTGATAGAAACAGCAAAGTATTGCTTACACCAAGCATGCACTTTATTCATACAGGCTGTCACACGAGGGAAAGAGTCCTTGCTTTGTCTTAGTTCTGCTTACCTTACATTTTTCCTTCATTCTGTTTCTTTCTTCACATTCATTCAATCAAATTATTAAAATATAAAATTGCAGAAAAATAAGACAATAGTGCTGGGTGAATGTATTCTTCCTGCATGAGGTATTCAACTCAAATAGCAGACATTAGAGGAGAATGACAAGTTTATTATCATTGCTTTACCTCACTGAATACTTCAGAGTCTCCAAATTTATTTAGATAATAAATATTTTATTTATCTTATGTCCGTCACCTGCATGATATCCACCTCTTGTTCAACTAGGTCAGCTCTTTTCAATCTTGATTTTAATTCAAAGAATCACAGAATCATAGAATCATTTATATTGGAAAAGGCCTCTAAGATCACCTCCTCTGGCCATGGAGCAGCAGGAGGAGTGAGTGCTCCTGCTCTGCGTGCCCACTCTGACCCCACAACCCAAGAGGTCATGCATGTGGATCCCCACGTGCAGCCCCATCCCACCACCCCATCAGCTGGGTACAAACACACCTGGCAGGGTCTCACAGGAGGGTGCTGTGTCTGGGCAGGGCAGCACTGTGACACTGGTACCCCACAGCAGCATCAAACCAACTGCTGCTGCTGTTTCCTTTATGAGGACACTCCCCATACCAAAAAATATTCATCCTTATTTCTTTTTGTGCCGACTTCTCCTTTGTTTAAAAAAAACCCAGTGAAACTCAAAAAAACCTCTTTGTATTTTCCTGGCTAATATTTTGTACACCAGACGATCAGCTTCCCCTTGAGCACTTTGCAAGTTAAGGTTTTGGTAACAGCAGGCTACAGGGGAGGTTAAAATGAGGAGCTGCTAGAAGCTTCACACATGTGCCATGGAGCACATGCCAGCTGGCTCCAAGGTGGACCTGCCACTGGCCAAGGCCAAGTCCATCAGCAGCAGTGGTGGCACCTCTGAGATAAGAAGGGGGAAAACATCCCTGCATCATTGTAGCCCAAGTGAGAACATGTGAGAGGAACAATTCTGCAGACACCAAGGTCAGTGAGGAAGGAGCAGGAGGAGGTGCTCTAGGTGCCAGAACAGAGATTCCTCTGCAGCCCATGGTGCAGCCCATGGAGAGGCAGCTGTGCCCTGCGGCCCATAAAGGTCCACAGGGGAACAGAGAAGCCCTTGCACCCCATGGAGAACCCACTCTGCAGGTGGATGCTCAATGGAGGCTCTGATCCACTGGAAACCTGTGCTGAATCAGGCTCCTGGCAGGAGCTGTGGTGCTGTGGAGAGAGGAGTCCTGTTGGAGCAGATTTGCTGGCAGGACTTGCGACCCTGTGGGGGCACCCATGCTGGAGCAGTTTGTGGAGATCTGCTGTCCACGGGAAGGACTCACATTGGAGAAGTTTGTGGTGAGCTGTCTGCCATGGGGGAGACTCCAGACTGTAAAAAGGAAAAAGGAAAGAAGTCCTTCCACTGAGGAGGAAGGAGCTTCAGAACGTGCTGTCAGCCATAGGTGGAGGACTAAAAGGAAATACTCTGTGAACTAAGTAGAAATTTTGAGGACAGCATGATGTCATTTATATAAGCATAAACCTGAGAAGTAAGATAGCACTCAACATTTTAAGAAAAAAACAAATGGAGCCACCTTTCTTTCCAGCCCCTTGTTCAGCAGACTTCATTTTTCTTAATCTGCTTATTGATG